AAGGAGGAGAGCATGGCAGACACGTGGACTGTGCAAGTTCCCATCCCAAGTGCCCCGGGTCACTTCCACTCACCACCATCAACAGCACAAATCACACCCATGTGCCCGCTGCAAGGTGGGAGGGACGGGAAGCAGCAAGACTGATCCGGAGGGGAAGAGCCCAGTGTGTCTGTGTCCGGGTGAGTGAATGGGCGGAGGCCGGGGAAGGCGTGGTGTGTTGTCCAGGAGGAAGCAGTTAGTGAAGGAGTCGGTGGAGGTGACAGCAGTGAGTAACTCAGTGGCCAGAGGAAAATGTGAAGAAGGGGGGGATGTCCACCCATGGCCACCAAGGAGGGGGTGGTGACCCTGACAGGCCACAGGAGCCATGCAAGTTTTAATGAGGAAGAAGCTGTGACCTAAGCTGTTCAAGGTGACAGCCGAGCATGAGCTGGAAGCAGGCAAAGGGCAGAGCTCAAGGCCCGGCAAGGGCCCCTGGGACTGCAGGAGAGCAGAGTCACTAGGGCCACCCTGACTGAGCAGGCCACTCAGTAGGCATTCTAATTCCTACTCTAAATATTTGCTAATTACATATAAACCTTGTGCTGGATTGAATTATCCCCCCAAAGTATATCCACCCAGAACTCAAAAACATTATTGCATTTGGACATAGAGTCTTGCAGATATAATTAGTTAAAATGAGGCCATAATGTATTAGGGAGGGCTCTTAACCCTATAGGACTGGTGTCCTTACAAGAAAAGGGACACAGTCACAAGAGAAGAGGCACGAAGACAGAGTCAGGGCATGGAGGGATATGTGTGCAAGCCGAGGATCACCAAGGATCGCCAGTCAGCACCAGAAGCCGGACCAGGCTGAGCCTTGCTGCACCCCCACAGGGAGCGGGCCCTGCCTTCACCTTGACATCGGGCTTCCAGCCTCCAGACCCTGAGAGAATCAGTTCTGTGCTTTACAGCCCCCCAGACTGTGGGACTTGGTGACAGCCATCCTAGGGAGCGCAGACCAACCAGGAGGGAGGAGAAACTGTGTCTCTGGACCTAGCGGCACCCAGAGGACTTACTCTGCATCTTGAGCAGAGCCTTACATTCCACCTCATTTGGAACTGGCTTTACTTTCTCAGTTTTTTTTCTCCCTCCCATTGCTCACTGCTTTCCCTGAGAACCAGGAGAAATCCACATAGGTCCAGATGTCCAGGTGGAGGGGTACAGGTGGGGTCTGAAAGTGGACTTGGGATCTTGCAACAGGTAGAAGGATCCCATTCTAACAGAATCCAAGCAGCGAGGCTGAATAATGGAGGAGCAATTGACAGGAACCCCTTGCCTCCACACACTTCCTCGACCAACACCAGCTGCAGGTCTCTCTGCTTTGGTGTTGGGCAAGAGAACGGGCGGGATGGGTGAGGTGCTGCAGCTGCTGCTGATGGTGATGGTGGTGGTGGCGGCTGACCTTTTATCAAGGGCTTTCTCTATGCTGGGCATTGTTCTAGGCTCTTATATCAACATGCATTTCTTACAGTGACCTTGTGAGCTAACTCCACCATAGGTATCTTTTAAAAAACATTGTTCTTATTAGGTATATACGACAGCAGATGCGTTTCGAGTTCTTGTACACAAATGGAGCACGACTTTTCATTTCTCTGGTTGAACACCATGTGGAATCGCACCACATTATATGGATCTTACAGACAAGGAGGCCAAGGCAGAAAATGATTGAACTCCACCAAGAGTATGGAGCTGGCAAGTGGCAGAGATAAAATGAAGATGGCTCTCAGAGAGGTGAAACCGGAGGCTTCTGGGGAGGGGAAGTGGGGAAGCTGGCCGGGGAGAGGCTGTTGTCTTCCTAACTCATTTTGTAGAATTATTCAAACAGTCCAAGAGGAACTTGCTAAATCACACACTGCAAAGGAAAAGGAAGAGGAGATGAGGAAGTGGAACTCAGTATGCAGATGCCCATTTTGAGAAGTTTGGAGAAGAAAACCTGAGGGTGAACAGTCCGTAGGAGCTGCAGGGAGACTTGATCCGGGGTAGGTCGTTCACTGTGATGGATATTTACTTGCTGACCAGAATGACCCAGGAAAGAGGGAGAGACAGATGCTGAAGCAAAGAGAGTCTCCTGAGCAAGCCTGGTACAGGAGCTAGAGAGGTGTGGGGTTTGGGGGTCAGATTCTCATTTAATCAGGAGGGAAAAGAACATGAGTCTGCACCAGCTGGCTCATAAATTTTGGTCAAAAGTCCTGATGGTTTCCCTCACCTCTTCCTCCATGGAGAGAGGAATGGTAACTTGTCCAAGGCACAATCGTTTATAAGTAATGACATCTGATTTGGGGAGCCGCAGACCTCAATGCTCTTCCCCACAAATGCCAGCTTCCCATGGGGGTCTCTCGCAACCCCACATACCCACAGACACCATGAAAGAGGGTTGGGAATAGGTGATTCCTAAGGCCATTAAAAAAATCGAAGGTGTTGCTAACTAGAAATTTCCAGTGGACATTAGTCCAGAAGATCTAATCTCACCCTGTGATAGAGCTGCAGTGTATGTACATTTACTAAGCAAATCTAATTCCATTGCTGACCAGCGAGAAAGAGAAATAATTTAAACAGCTCAATGTGTGGCACCCACATTCAACTCCACAGCTTCTGCTGTCTCAGCTGCATCGGGCTGGGGCTGGGGATGTGCAGGCAGCACTCAGTTCCCGGGGTGACCCCTCGGCAGGGTGAGCACCTTCCTCCTGCCTTGTACCCAGGGTTGCCCTAAGTGGGTCTTTTTCCCTAAGGCATGGCAACCTTAGCTGGATATGAGATAACTACTTCCTCTGCTGCTAGGGAGAAAGAAAAGCCAAGTGCAACAGGGAAGGAAAATTGGCTGTGCTGGCCCTCCTGGGAGGAGTGTGGAATCCAAATGGCACCTTCCTCAAACTTTTCCAAGGTGATTTGGACTCTGGCTTTAAAATGTCACCACTCTGGGGAAATTCTACCCCACCTATAAGTTCTCCCCTCCCCTTCTGTTTTTCCTCTACTGTTTTTTTTTTTTTTTCTTCCAGTGCTGAAGTTCGTCTGGGCTTCCTAAGCACAAACCCAGCCCCCCACTGGCAACATCCTTAGGGTTCCCAGCTGCAGTTCTGGGTTGTACTGCCCCAAGGAAGTCTTCCTCAAAGGGTCAGGAAATGGTTTCTCCTGGCAAAATGCCCTTCTCAACCCACACAGCAGGAGCTCCTTTTGTTATTGAAGGAAGGGGCACCCTCCTGCACACTTTTGAACTTAACACTGCATCTTTGATGGGTAGCAACCCCTAAGTGCTCCATAAGTGTTGTTGAAAACCAAAGCAGGGGAGCTTATGGGAAAATGGATGTCTGTAAGTGGGTAGCAAACTGCCAGGTCTGAGGGGCAGGTGTTTATACAACAGGATGGCTCCCAAGGATGCCAACTATTTGTTCATTCCTACATCCCCAGGGTCTAGAACAGTACCTGGACATAACAGGTCTCAGTACAGCCACAGGATGAATGAGCTCAGCTCAACCTTCTAGTATGGGTGGGGGAAACTGAGTCAGAGGGCTCTACTCTGCTGTGCTCTGGAAGGAAAGGGTTTTTCCTCTTCAGTCCTTTCCCAGAGGCTGAGAACAGAACCAGCTCATAGCTGCAGTTCAATAAATGTTCACTAGGACCGAATAAAGGTCAGGGCAGGTTAAGGCAAATAGGAGGCAAGGAAGAAAGCCAGTTCCCATGGGTCCTTTGAATGTCTCTAGGGCTGGTGGAGGAAAGGGGGTCACCATTCAGTAGGAGGAGTCAAGGAGGGGCACCTGAGCCTGCCTGGGGCTCAGTGGCAAGCTCCAAGCTAGGCAGGTAGGTGGCTTTGGGACAGTGACTGGGCGAGGCTGAGTCACTTTCTCCTTTATTCATAAGAGGATGTTTCTCCAGTGCTGCAGTTCTCAGCATAGCTTCACACAGAGGTGACCTGGGGAGAGGACAGGAGAGGGGCGGCCTTTTTAAACCCCCAGTGCCCGGTCTGTACTCCCTGAGATTCGGATTAAACTGTTAAAGGGTGGGGCCGTGGCTTCCACCTTCAAAAAATAATAATAAAAAAAAAAGCTCTGCAGGACCCAGGGGATTCTCTCCTGCTCACGGGGACGAGAACAGCTGCTTTCTTTGGTCCCTGAGAACATGCAGGCAGGCGCCAGTTACACAAAGCACCGCCCGTGGGACAGACTAGGGTTGGAAAGGCAGCTCTGCGCAAGTTCTAGCATCCAGGAGGGGCAGCGTGAGGGTGAGATGCTCCCTCCCGTCCGCCTGTGGGGCAGGGAGAGGGGCCACCGGGGCCAGGCGGAGGCGCTTAGAACTTGAAGGGGGAAGGGAAGGGGAGATGCGGAACGTTGGGGTGCAGCAGAGAAGATGGACGAGATTAAATGGGATCGAGAATTTCAGCGGAGAGTTGGGGGGAAGCAGAAGGGGTGTGAGTCTGAGAAAATTGGTCGGAGGAAGCAGAGGAGGCGGCCATGGGAAGGTCTCTGGTGGGGCTAGGGGCGAAGGCGTTGAGACTTGAAGGAACTGGAGGAGTCCACCAGAGGGATGTCAGGGCGTGGCGCGATGAGACGTTTTAAAGAAGAAACTCTGAGGCAGAGACGGGAGCCAAGCGGCCACGCCGAGGCACAAGGAAGTCCACATGCACACGCACGAGCGCGCACACGAGCACACACAGCACCCCTGTTCACACGCTCCCGCGGTGCACGCCCAGCCCCGGGCCTCTGGGACTTTGCAGAGGACAGCAGAGCTCACCCCCGGGGCCCCTCCAGCCGCGCCCCTACTGAAGCTTGCGCAACAGGCGACGGCTCCCGCGGACCCGGCGCGGCGCGTACTGCCCCAGCCCAGACCGGCTCCTGGGGAGGAGGGAGCGGGAAAGGGGTGTGTCCCCGCTGCGTGCGGGGCGCGGAGGCAGGGGAGGGGCGAGGCTTAGAGGCGGCGCCGCGGCGCCTATAAAGTCGCCCTCCGCCCGGACATAAACAAACCTCGCCCGGCTCCCCGCCGTCGCACCGGAGAGCGCGCCGATCCTTACTTCTCCCCAGTGTTGTCGCTGGACGCTGCGCCACCACCCTAGCCACCGGCTCCTTTCCTCTCTCCCTCTGATTTAGGTAAGCCTGGCACCCTCTTCCTCCCCGGCACAGGGACAGCAGAAAGGGGTTTCTTGGGAGTGCTGTTGGGGCGCTTGGCCCGCCCTTTGTGGACCGCAGGCTTCTGGAGCGAGCGCTATGGAGCTGCCAGAGCATGGTGACCCAAAGGCGCGGGCGAGGGAAGGAACTCTGGGGCGCCAGCACCGCTGGAGTAGGGGTTTCGACTAGAGAAAAGGGCGGGGGAGACTGATCGCCGTCCGCTTTTCTTCTAACTGGAGAAACGGGGTCCTGGGGAGTCGGCGAACGTGCGCGGAGCCAGCGCAGAAACACCTGAATCGCGCTTCCTGGGGTCCTCCCAGAGGCACCGCTGGCCCCGTTGGCCCGCGTGCGTGCTGGAAGTGAGCGCAGGAGGTGCTAGGTGTGCGTGTGTTGGCTGGGGGCGTCAGGATGACCGGGGAGGGAGCTGTTGCGCCGCGGGTGTAGATGCGGGTGGGTAGGGGTGAGCAGCACTGGCGAAGAGGCTGGAAAAGGGGGAGTGGGTGTGTCTGGTTTCCAGACTGGGCCAGGAACGGAGTAGATATGAGGGGCGGTGCCGATCCAGATCCTGAGTTGGGTGGTGCGTGTGTGTGTGTGTGTGCGCGCGCGCGCGCGCGCGGGGTGGGGGGGGCGGGGTGTGTTACGGCGCGTGCCGCACGCGCGAGATCGAGTGTCAGCGAGCGCCGCCTGGCAGGGTGAGTCCCCGAGGCGGCCCGGGGTAGGCGCTGTGGCGGCGCTGGAGAGATAGCTTGGGCGCGAAGGGTCGCGCCTGTATCTGGCGGCCCTTGAGCTGACTGCAGCTAGGAGTGGCGTCATTGTCGCCTCCGCCCACCCGCCCCCGCTTTCCTTCCCTCCGGTGTCTCTCTGGCCGGCCACTCCTGTGGTCCAGCGGGAAGAACAGCTGGAATTGCTCGGCTGTTCCCGGGAGATCGCCGCGGTCTCTGATTCAGCCTCGGGAGGAGGTTCGGGCAGGGGTGTGGAACGCGAGGGCTCCAGGGAAAACACGCTGTGACCGCCTCTGTCAGATTAGGAGCTGAAGCTGGGATTTAGGGGACCGCTTCCTCACCACTGCCATCTCCCCTCCTCCCGCGTCTGTTGACCCAAGCTGTCAGCTGTCCCAGCGTGTCCCCAGCGCCCCCTCTCTGGGTTGAACGTGGGAGATGCGTGTTAGAAGCAGCGAGTAGGGGAGGGAGGGCCGGGTTATCTCGTCCCCAGAACAGCCTTTCCCCACCGAGTCCTGAGCACTTCAGTATGTTTGGTTCCTTTAAGCTCCCGGGGAAGATGGAAGACTGAGAGTTGAGCTAGTGGCTACACAAGGGCTTTAGACATTCTTACATGCCAGTCAGCCAGCTCCGCCTTCCTCCACGCCACCCAGGGAACGTGATATCTAAGTACAAGCCCTGTTCTTGGTATGAAAATGCAGCTTCAAGGCAAACCTTCCAGCCTGGCCTCCTCCTGTCTAGACATTCTGGAGTCTCCACTGCGTTTCACAAATGTGAATTGGAAGAAGCAAGGTACAGAGGGGGAAACCCCGCCTGCCTTTAGGGGCTAGCCAACCACCAGCAGCAGGGGCACTGGCAGGAAAGGCACAGAGCCTGATTGGCCAGGATGGCACCAGGTGGGGGTCAAGGAAGGTGCCAGGGAGGGAGTAGTTCCAGTTGGTGATGAAAAACTCCAAAGGGAGGATGTTCAGGTGTAAGCATTGACACTGGGCTGTCCCCTGTCCTGTACCTTCTTAGCTTTGTGGGACCTTGTCTCTCCAGGAGGGTGAGTAGAACCAGGGTGGGGAGGAGGATTTTGCCTCACCCTGGAGCCTGGCAGCTGTCCCAGGATCTGGCACCTAGGAAGAGTCCAACCATAAACAGGGAGTGGACTGTCCCCTTCCCCTCTGGTCCAGTAGGTGGGATCCCAAGGAGGAAGGTATAGGTGGAGGTGTTATGTTTGGCTATGGATCATGGACTGGAGCCTCCTCTCCTGATAGAGTTCTCTCAGAGTGACAAGCAAATCTGCAGTTGCAAGCCATTGATTTGTAATGGACCTCTCTGCACTTTGCCGATGGGAAGTGAGACCCAGAAACAGGGACGCTTGTGCCAAAGCTAAGTGAGAACCAGAACTCCCCCTCTAGGCCCATTTCAGGATCTTCTGGTTGGGGCTGAACTAGATCTTTGCCTGTCTCCTGTAGAGAGGTAATATGAAATTAGCATTCCACTAAGTGTGTAGACAGGGCACTTTGAGGCAGGGGAGGCAGAATGCAGGGGATATTTTAAAAAGTATAAATCAGCTGTTTAGAGATTAGCCAAATCAGTTGAGTGGAAAAGGCACAAGGACTGCAGCCCGTGTTGGTTGGCTTCACTGGTTGGGCTGCCCTTTCCAGGATAAATGGCAGAGCTGGTGGCTGGAACCTGCTGGCCCGAGCTGGCTTCACAGGGGCCAGAAAGATGGCATTGTGTTTTCCTGATGGCCTAAAGCTGTATTTCTTCCTTGGAACCCAACTCCAGAGCATCCATCCAAGGCATGATTCAAAGAGCCTGTGGCTCAGCAGGAAAACCAGCATGTGACAGTCTCTAAGGTCCTAGCAGGGAGCAGGGCCAGACACAGCAGGAAGGAAGGCTGAGCAGGGTTGGGACTTCTCTCTCCAGAGCAGCTGCGGGGTCCCCTTAACACCTGCAATCCTTGTAAGACGGGGCTGTATTATCTCCAGCAAGTGGATGAGGAAACTGAGCCAGGAGAGTCAGAGGCCTTGACTATAGCCATGTGGCTAAGAGTGGGAGACCCAGACTTTGAACCCAGACAGTCGGTGTCAGAGTCTTCGTGCTTTGGCCTGGAAACATGTTGGGATGCCTGGAGAAAGCAGGCCAGAGTGAAAGTACAGAGAGGTAATCAGCCCTGTGCCTCAGCTTCCTGGTCTGTAAGATGAGAATGACAGCCTTAATAGGATATGAGAATCTTGACTGAGCTGATCCATGTAAACAGAAAAGTGCCCAGCAGGTGGGGAACACTGAGTAGGGGTGTCAGCCTTCTGGAACCATGTCCTAGGCAGTGTCTGGGGCCCCTTGTTCTAAACCTACCCAGGACTCAAAGCACCTGCACATGCTAGAGCCAGACTTGGACTGAACTCACGGCCAGGTACCCTGAAGGCAGGGCGTGAAGACTGTTCCAGAATGCTGGGGAGAGGAGGAAGGAGGGAGTGGCCACACAGGCCATCTTGTGGCCTCTGGGCCTGGCAGTTAGTGGATGTTCGATGCTGGATGTACCTCGTGGACATGTTCTTCTTCTCAGGTTAGAAAACTGGGGCTTGGACAGGAGACTGCCCTGTCAAATGAGTGGGTTCAGATCAAGGCAGTGAGCTAGGCCTAGCCATTTCAAATCCTGTGTTGCCCTTTAAGGCCATCTTTAAGGCCCCTGAGCCCATCCTTCAAGGATGGACTTGTTTCCTGGTTCCTGCTTACGTCTGGTCCGAAGCATGCCTGCCAACCTGTCTTCACCGTGGAGCCGAGCTGTGAGCAGTCTCTGCTAAGGAGCCTGGCCTACTGTGTGTGGCCGGGTTTGTTCCCTGGAGAGTGCACAAACAGCAGGTGGACACTGAGGCCCCGACGGGAAGGTGGAGGGCTGCTGTTGGGTGTTGGTATGGAGCTGAGGTCTCCAGGGTAGGCCACGAATGAGGAGAATGGCCGAGAGTCAGTCTTGCCACAAAAGGATAGGAACTGATTACAAAATCGAGCCCACAAACAGTCTCTTTTAATGGGACGTGAATGCCCTGTCAGGAGTCCATCTTTGATCCTTCCCCCACCTCAGCCTGGGGAACCCTTTAAACAAGAGTGCATTTTAATCCCTCTGGAGCTTCCAAGAGAGGTGGGGTGCAGGTCCTCTTCCTCCCAGCTCCCTCCCCGCCTCCGCCTGCCTTGGCTTTCAAAGGTTCTGAGCACCCTGTTCCAAATATGGATGTAAGTGGGATTCTTGTGAACAGGTGACTCTAAGCATCTCTGACTAGTGAGCCCTGGCCCCTTGGTCTTCCCTCCTCCTTTCTTCAGAAGGAAGGTCCTGTGTTGGGTGACCTGAGTTTTCCCGGTGGATTAGGTTGCTTCTCTGCTTTTCCATTCCTCCAACACAGGAGACCCTGGCCCCTGGTGGGTGTTCCATTAATGCCATTCAAAAGGAAAACTCCAAGTGTGAGGGGAATAACTTGGGCCACTGTGTGTCAGGAAGACCGGTGGGCCGTTCCCGAGGGTGGGAGCAGCGAGACCATTTAGGGGAAGGATCTTGTGGGCAAGGCCAGCATCTGATCCTGGGGACAAAGGGCCCTGTATGAGGGATCCATTTCCTTGTCCTGGGCTAACACTGGCTCTGTTTGTGTGATTTCAACAAATTATCTCAGACCATCCAGTGCAACTCCCGCCTGTCCCACAGATTCACAGAACAATCCTTTAACGAGACCAGTGTCCTCCTTCGGACTTCCAGTTACTGGGCTTGGCCCCTTGGACAGTTGTCTTCTCTCTGCCAAACCAATGGCTCTGCCAAGACTCCACTGAGAACCTCCAGGAAGGTCCCTGTACTGCAGAGAAGGGGGTGGGCCTCTGTGGATTCCAGACCCTCCCTCTTCCTGCTATTGTGTTTCAGCTGCTCTCCTGACCTCTGGGTTCTGGGCTCCAGTTGAACAGGCAAAAATTTGGTTTTAGCTCTAGCTGGTACCCAGGGAATGCAGGCCATGCTGGTGATCTGACAGTGAGTGGGGCTGGGGTTTGTCTTCCTTGCAGTGATTTCTGGTCTCGTCTTTCAATACTGAACAATTCAGTGATACCTGCCAGGTTTCAGGCTCCATGCAGAGCACAGAGGCCCTAGGAATTCCTAGTCTGGAGGTCTCCTGCCCATGACCCTATACCTTTTTTTTTTTTTTCTCCCCTGATTTCTCTCTCAGACTTTGAAAACCCAATCTCAATTCTTCCTTTCTCTAGTTGGGGAACTTTCTTGAGGGTCCAGCGAGTCCA